GGAAAAAATGAGGACCTGATGCCAGGGGTAACTTAAGTGGAGAGCAAATGTTTTGAGAATGATGAGGGCAATGAATGTACCAATGTGCTTTACACAATTGATGTATGTATGGTTTGTGGTAAGAGTCGTATGAGCCCTTAATAAAACTATTTTTTTAAAAAAGAAAAACAACAACAACAACAAAAAGAACAGGGTAGAACTGCCCCTGGGAGTTTCCAAGGCTGTAACTCTTTTCCAAACCAAACTCACTGCCATCGAGTCAATGCTGACACATAGTGACCCCCTGGTGAGTTTCCAATACAGTAACTGTTTATGGGAGTAGAAAGTCCAGGCTTTCTCCCATGGAGCTGCTGGTGACCGTGCAGATCACAGTGTAACCACGACACTCTTTATGGGAGTAGAAAGCCTCCACTTTCTCCGACAGAGAGACTGGTGGTTTCAAACTGCTCACCTTGGGGTTAGCAGCCTAATATGCAACAACTCTGTCACAGAGGCTCCTCTGTGCTCTGTGCAAGTCAGAGGGGAGGATATTCTAGGCAGAGGACTGAAAGTAGAGATGCGCTTGATATAATTTATGGAGAGAAAAAAAAATCTTAGTGTAATTAGCAGGAAGTGTTTTGGGATACAAAAGAGACCCAAATCTCAAATATAAGTTAAGAACATTTATTAATTCTTAAACAGGACAAAGACAGAAGCATCATCCACATGAAGGTCATAATGGAATCAGAGGGTTTGCTGTGATGCAGAGCTACGGGGGAGGGCAAAGGAAACTCCCAAAAGCATGACTGGTCGCAGATCAATTATAGGTTAAATTACAGGCACCAAGTACAGGTTAAAAAAGTGTAAACGGAACCATGATTGGAACATGTATATTGTGTTAGACAGAAAAGCTTGCAATATTGGCCTAAGGCCTTCTGACAAGGCAGTGAGGACAAGACGCATGTCTGTGGAACCCCAAGTATTGCATCAAGAACATATCCCAGGGAAGGTCCGAACAGAAACTGCCCCTTGGGGGGCTGGCTGGCTAGGGAGTGGATGTAATCCCCCTTCTAAAATGCTCTGCCTGAGACAAGGCCTTTGGCATCCTGGTCAATGATCAGAAAGAATTCGGCGGAGGCTTAATTCATGTGAAGACTCCAAAATTGAGTTTTGCGTGTTCCCTGTCATCTACAGCCTTCTGCAAACAGGATGCTCAGAAATTAAGCTCTGATATAGAAATCTCTAAGGAAGATCTTTAGAAGTGGATTGTGGAGAGTGTGACAGAAGTAGATATTTGAGAAGAGAGTTTGATTGATTTTAATTCCAAGTTTAAAGGGAGTCTTACTCTGGGTTTGCACTAAAAGAGGGAAGTGATTTATTTATGTTTTGAAAAGATCACTTTGGTATATGTAAATGCAGGTGAGAAATGAGGTCTAAATGATCAGAGATGGTTGTTGCATGGTTGAAGTAAGTAAGGAAAATTAATTACATGTTGATACTGAGTTTTTGAAAATCAAGTTGATAGGGGCTATGTGCAATATGATATAGTAGCTGACAAAATGCT